CTTATGTTATTTCAAGAATATTTTTTTATTATCTCTTCTTGATCTTTTCGCTAAGATCAAGCAAATAAGTATATAGGAAGGTAACAGCATTCTGTGTTTCACCATATGCTCTGTGTTGCAGCGCAATATCATGCTGGACACATGACCGTGGAAACATCTCCAAATGTCACTGGCTCTTTGCCTTAAGAAACGGAGGTGCGCACCACCCCCTAAAGTTGATCATGACTAATGAAATATAAAACGCGCAGGGATACTCTTTTTATGGAAAAGAGGTCATCCCCATAAAAAAAGAAAATGAAATATATATATACCGGTCCATGGACCAGTACTGGGCCGCAGCATGCCAGCAACCAGTCTGCACAAACAAGGAAAGTCCCATCCACAGGATGCAGGCAGCATACAAAACCATGCCCCCTCTGGTCCGCAGAAAAATCTCTATCCACGTAACCGGTCCCTGGTTTAAACAATCAGATTTCCAGATATAATTCTAGTCTGATCTACAAATGGATTAATTTTAAGTTGATTGGGATTGATGATTGTTATCAGTATTTAATACATTAAATTATCAGGAATAGGAAAGCCATTTTAACTAAAATAAAAGAGAATTAATAAGGTTATAATGAGATTGCTTTCTTACCATAGCATAGGCCACAGGTCGGCAACCTGCGGCTCCAGAGCCGCATGCGGCTCTTTGAGCCTTCCCCTGTGGCTCCCAGCCTCCTCTGCCTTTGCAGAGAGAGACAGAGACAGAGAGAGGCCATTGCGCTTCCCTGCTTCTCTCTCTCTCTCTCTCTCTCTCTCTCTCTCTCTCTCTCTCTCTCTCTGTGTGTGTGTGTGTGTGTGTGTGTGTGTGTGTGTAAAAGAGAGTGCACTCACAGTGTTCTCCGAGGAGCTGAAAAGCTCACCGGGCGGAGCATCTCCCTTTGCTGCGTCTCTGCAGGAAGCAGGAAGCAGGAAGGGCAGGAGAGAGGGAGGGAGGGACAGAGACAGAGAGAGAGAGAGAGAGATCCTTTTGACATCTAAAATGAAGATAACACTGCATATATCCTTTTTTTTACCTGTGTGTGTATGTAATTTTATTCTCTTAAAGCATTCTCTTGGTGATCATTGTTTTAATAGTATGGATATTCCCAAGAGTCATATTTTTACTTTTATTTGTAATGTGTGTGTGTGTGTGTGTGTGTGTGTGTACATACACACACACACACACACACACACACACACACACACACACACCTATAATAAAGATAAAAAAGGATATATGCAGTGTTATCTTCATTTTAGATATCAAAAGGGTTTTGCGGCTCCCGGTGTTTTGTTTTTGGTGGGAAACGGGTTCAAGTGGCTCTTTAAGTGTTTTGGGTTGCCTACCCCTGGCATAGGCCAAAGTTTAACTGCCTGTTAATTTCTATAACATCTAACAATTATGCACACAGTAGTTTTTCTTTATGTTTTGCAGGATGAGGTGAAACTGCCAGCCAAGCTGAGCATAAGTAAATCTGTAAAAGAAATGGAAAAAGAGGAAGAAGGGGAAGAGATCCCAGCTGGTGAGGAGCACCCTGGAGAGGATCATATTGAGCTTTCCTCAGATGAAGAGGTTGAAGTTGAAGAGATTATTGAGGAATCACGAGCAGAACGTATTAAGAGAAGCAGCATGAGGAAGGTTGATGACTTCAAGAAGGCATTCTCTAAGGAGAAAATGGAGAAGACCAAGTTGAAAACTAGAGAGAACCTAGAGAAGACCAAGCTGAAGACCAAAGAGAACCTGGAGAAAACCAAGCAAAATCTGGAGAAAACTCGACATAATCTGGAGAAGAGAATGAACAAGTTAGGCACTAAGATAGTCACCACTGAACGCAGGGAGAAGATGAAGACTTCCCGAGATAAGCTGAAGAAGTCCTTTACCCCAGATCATGTAGTCTATGCACGTTCCAAGACAGCTGTCTATAAAGTGCCACCTTTCACCTTTCATGTTAAGAAGATCCGTGAGGGAGAGGTAGAAGTGAAGGCCACAGAGATGGTGGAAGTTGGTGGAGATGAGACAGAGAACACGGATCTGCTGAGAAGCGAAAGCCCTGAGATGAGCACACTTCTGCAGATCACCGAGGAGTCAGATGCAGTGCTTCAAGAAAAGAGTGATAGTGAGTGAGGCAGGTGGCAGTATAAAAGCATCAAGTGCTGAATATATAATCTTCCACATTTCCTCTTTTTGGCCTCACATGGGCATGCGCACGCACACATACACATGCACACATATACGTACACAATATATACAGAAATTTTTCAGCTCACCCCCAGCTTCAAGGTGCATTTTTGTATATTTCTGATTCATCATATAGAATATGGGACATACTTATAATCCAGAAAAATACCATTCCTGCTGCTAAAAGCTTGCTTTGCCAGCCTATCATGGCAATACTGCAACTTCCCAAAGGTGCTACCCAAGAAATAATCTATTTCTATGCCCAAGAAGCATGCTGTCCCTTAGCTATCCTCTTTGATGTCATGAATGCTTCCTGGAACCTGAAAGCAAATTGTCAGACAGAAGACAAAGCACAGGCATGGAAACAAAGAAGGAATGAGCTTGGTATATCATAGAACTAAGGGATAATGAAGGAAACATGGAAATTACTGCTTGAATTCAGGGATATTGTGATGCCAAGTAATGCCTGATTCAGGCATACAGTCTGTGCATACTCCAATTTCCAAGAGATTATTTGGGAAAAGTTGCACTTAGTAGGCCTTATTTCACCAGTAAAAGTCAAGTGATTGCCAATAAATATATCAACAGGAAGTAATATAAACAGGGTGTCCATTTGCACTATTAGCTACACAGATCTGTGAAGCTACTTTGTAACTTGGTTGAAATAGGGGTACTGATCTGGGGCTGAGAAGTGGATGAAAGGAATATTGGACAAGTAAGGAAAGTCAAGGGGAAAAAAGAGGGCTCAAGGACAGAGAGTGGATAGCTTTAGCTACGAGTAATAAAGTGTTACCAACATCAACAAAACAGGAGGCAACTATCATCTACTCTGTTAGCATCTTGACTTCCATTCCTGGGCTGGATCCAGAGAGCACTGCAGGGTTGTTTTCTGCTTATACCAGGGCTCTAGCAGTAGGCCAGCTTTAACTAATTGTGTAATATTTGAGTACATGCAGTTTTTACTAAACTTGCCACATAGAAAGGGTGTCAAAGTACAAGAATTCCCTAATACAAGATAATTTGTTACTGGGAAAGGGATTCTCAGGTACCTTCCCTGAACAATACACCACACAAAATCACACACATACTGACTTCCATACAGCTACCTCTTTGGCTTGCAGGGGACAGTTTTTAAGCGAGCCTGAAGCCTCGCTTTCTAGTCACCAGACAATAGCCTCCTTCCCCATTTTCTGACACATGTAGCTACCCTTCCTTTGCATGATTTTGTGATTTACCCCATCCCCGCCTGCCTGCCTGCCTGCCTGCCTGCCTGCCTGCCTTCCTCACATTCTACTGAGATTTTTCCCCAGTGTCTCTATGATCAAGGAGAAAATATTTGCAGCCATGAATCCATCATATGTCTTGTGATTCTACATCCAACATATCTACTGCATCTGTACCAGAACTGCCTGTTCTAACATCCCCATAAATGGCTTGGCTATTCACACCTTAGCAAGAAGAAAGGGTATGTGTGTAATGGGTGTTCTTATTGGACTGAGAAGTGTGCAAGCGAGTAAGGATTGTTCCCTTTGCACTGCACTTTCCTTCAAGCCTTTCCGTTCTTGTCATGGATCTAGAAGAAGAGAGAGCCCAGGATGTAAGATATGCTTGGCCTTCCAAACTATCAAAGATGGGATGGGGATCTTGCCTCATTCTGGGGAAAATAAATATGTGGGGAAGAGGGTGCTGTGCCAAGCAGCTGCAATGATCTTTTTTCTAAGACTGCATCCTGGTGAGCAGCATGACTAATAAACTTTCTTTTCTACATGGATAAGTGTAAAGTGGTTTGGGGAACAACATTACACAGATTAATGAACTAGAAGCAGGAACATTTCCACAATCAAGTAATATTATTTTTTAAGTACATCAACACTTCCCTTCTGTTTTTCAGGAAAGGTTTCTGAAAGCAAGAAATTAATTCAAATAAGAAATGAGACATAGATCCCATTTTGACCTATAGAAATTGGCAATGAGTGAAAGACCACTTCTCCTGAACCCTATGTGCATGTGTGTACTTTAAAGGCTAGACAGTATGCTGCTGCTAGTTTTAATTCTCTCTAAAGTAGGGGGCCACCTATTTGGTTTCTCATTTTTTCTTCTGAGGACCACATAACAGAAATTGCTATGTGAAAGAGCAGCCATACCTTGTCATTAATCTAAAGCTAGCCCTATGTTGTTCTACATTGGGAAGTGGGGAAGGAAGGGAGATAGCAGATGCCTCAGCAGTAGCAGAAGGATTAGCCAAATGACTGTCCTCTCTCTAAAGCAGCCCTTCCCAACTTGTCATCCTTCAAAGAGACAAAAGTTTCCAGTTGGCCTAGCTAAAAGATACTGGTCAGGAATGGTGAGAGCAGCAATGCCAATACAACCAAAATGCTCTAATTTGGAGAAGACTGTTAATGGCTTTGCTATGACCATTTTTCACACTTACAACAATTGCAGTATCCCATGGTCACATGATCAAAATTCAGCCACTTGGCAACTGACTCATATTTATGACAGTTGCAGTGTCCTGGAATTATGTGATCGATGCAACTTTTGCAACTTTCTGACAAGCTAAGTTAACGAGGAAACCAGATTCAGTTAACAACCATGTTACTAACTTAAAAACTACAGTAATTTGCTAAACAAATGTGGCAAGAAAAGTTTAAATGGGGCAAAACTTGCTTAACAAATGTCTCACTTAGCAACAGAAATTTTGGGTTCAATTGTGCTCGTAAGTCGAGGACTACCTGTCTTTCACCTTGGCTTGCACGATTTTACCTTGCAGGTAATTTGATGCATTGATGGCTTGGCATTTTATTTTTTCTCTAATTTCTAAAGCAGTGTTCTCAAGTTCTGGTGCCAGACACTTTTCCACATCCTTTTGTTCTTTACATTGGCAGTTAAAAGGAGGGAAAGTGGAGATTACCTAGACTTGATCCAAAAAAACCTGTTTTAGTAGCCACAGAACACTGGAATGCCAGCTGGAAAGAAAAAAAATGTGATGAAATGATGGAAAGGGATACAGACTACCCTGTTTAATAGTGTGCTATATTAAATGCTTATGCCACCTGGGTGACTCTGGGCAGTTCACAACAATCAAATACAATAAAACCAATAAAACAGAAGAGATAATAATAGCAAGGGCAACAGACCAAATCAAATATGTTGAAAGGTCTTGCTCTCCATTGCCAATGTTTTAATTAAAGTGTTCATATCCCATCCTTTGAATCCAAATAAATATCATTAAATATTCATTTATTATATTTATATATCACCCATTTCAAAGAAATATGACTCTAGGCAGCATACTATAAAATTACAAAAACAGAATTCATATTAAATGCAATTACTATCATTACTGCTTTTTTGGGAAGTAACAGAAACCACTGATACCACTTTTTCCTAATGTCTGAGGCAAGAGAAAAAAAACAGTCTTAGTTTCTTTAGTACATTATAGGTATACTAAATCTCTTGTGCAAAACAGTTTATAGTTTGAACATTTGCAAATAGTAATATTTCAGTTCTTGCATTTTTTAACAATTGCAACTATTTTATGCATGTGAAGAGGTTTTTATTTTCTTAAAAGCATTATAGAGATATGTATAATTGTGACCAGATAATATTTAGCTTTCTCAAATTTTAAATAAAAACTCATCCTTCCCAACAGATGAAAACTTTTTTAAAAAGTTCCCGAAAGAATTATATATTTCCATTACAGCCATGTTAAAGAAATCAATACCTTGACAGTGAAGTTTTTTAAAAAAAGGCAAGCAGTCTTGTCCAGATTCATCATAGGTACATAAAGTATAAGATTCTAAGGGTAGAAATAAAAAACAGAATTACACTTCCTCCTCAAGGCATTTGCTCTACCTCTTCAAATCCAGTGGTAATGTACATGAACATAAGAAATATGGAATCAAACTACTGGTTCATCTTCTTCCAACCATTTAGGTCAAACTCGCACATTTGCTTGGCCTATTGCCATTAGTAGCCTGCAGAAATGGATGACTCCAATTGCCACTGTCATCCCGTTACAAATCCATCCTGCGCCAATGGTTTCCATTTTTCATTTCAGACTGCTATTTCCCAACCTGAGCCATTTAAAGCCTTTCAGAGTGGTCCCCACTCTTTTGCTCAATCTAAGCAGAAGGCCCAGTCAACTGCCAACTTTCCCACTTCCCAGCTATGATTGGTCACTAACCCGGGCTACCTTTCTATCCTGGACTGCCATACTGCTACCATATGTTCTCCACCATTTGTCAACTTTCATGTTTAATGCTCTTACAGATGACCAACAATAATCACTTAAATCAAGGGACTAGCCTCAACCTCAGAAGTTCATGCACCATCCCTTTCATTTTTAAAGTCACAGTGTTGCTGCTTTATTTCCATTAAGCTGAACTATTAATACATCCTTATTACAAAGTGTTCATAAACGTACAGAAAATCTACCAGTGGAGATCAACCTGTTCCCCTGCTGCATTGCTTATTGTAGCATCAGAGTAATGATGATATTGTAATGGGAAAAAATAATCTACATCAATGTTGAAAGAGAGAATGTGGGAAGGAGATTGAATGTGTTTATTTATGCAAATCTGGGAAAGCAAATGTATGTGAACCAATGAAGAGGAAGCAATCCTTAAAACGGAAGGCACTGGAAGACTATTCTCATGCCTGCCAGCCAGCAAGATGAGGTAGACAGAGGAATGACCAGATCCTACTATGACCATAGTTCGGAGTTGAGCACCAACCCAGTCCCTCTGCAATCTGGACAAGAATGTCTGAAGTTGCTTAATAAACTGGACCAGCAGAGGAGAAATCAGTTTAGACAGCAGGGCAGAATCGTTGTTTAACTGAAATTGGCTTCTCAGGTTTCAGGAATCTTTCCCTGCCTTCAAAGGAGATAAACAAAAACTGAATCTGGGACTCTTTGAAAAGGACATACCCTATCATTCTTATCCAAGTACGTGTCTAGTACTCTGCCCTTGCAAAGTCAATTCCATTTGAATGTATAGAATTTCACATAAAGAAAATGGCATTGGATGGTACAAAATTAAGTCTTTGAATATAATAAAAAAATGCAAAATGTAAATGCAAAATCCAAAAAAGTAATTTTAAAAAATTACAACCATATAATCATGGTATCCATCATTTTGTCTAGCTGTGCCACAAATTGGATTTCAGACTGTTAAACTAAATCACATGTTGAAAGTCTTCTCGCCCCTCAATACAGAAAACTACCCAGCAGCTATTTTGCTTAAATATTTAAGGAAGTAACCAGTAATTAATTTCTGGTTGGATTAGATTATGAAAAATTATTCAGATTCTTGAGCAAAGAATGGTTTCAGTGAAAGTGCTTCAAGTGGAATTTGGCTTTTGGTATCTTTTCCCTCTTTTCATTAATTCATCCCTTTTTCTAAAAAGTAGTTGTGATGTGAGGAGTTCCTTTATTTTGATGGGTCTTCCCACAATGTCATCAGACGGACTGGAATAGCTTCCACTTTATACTGAGATCAGCTCAGTCAGCTGCACAACACATTCCTTGACCTTTGTATTTCAGAACAGTAACTTCTTTTTGGAGCAGATCTAGAGGAAGAATGAACTTCTGTGTTATAGTACAACTATTTGTGGTAACATAATTTATAAAGAGAGAGCAGGCAAACCACAATGGATAGCAGATAGCTTTATGCAGTCAGAAAATAGAAATGAAAAAAAAAAATACAATGCTACTTATCTACCTAAAGCTTGCAGTGTGCTTTCACAATTGTGAGAGAGCTTAAGTCAGGCAAGTATCTTGAACTCCACAGCTCAGAGTTAGAAAAGAATAAGAATTGAATTGAGAAAAGAGTGATGAAGGTCCCAAGAATAATAGCTTAGCAAATAAGAGGTATATTACAGACATGCAAAATAAGTCTTTTAGACAATGGTCAAAAATAAAAATGCATAGTTCTTTGCTAACTTTCTCACCTTTTATTGCTCCTGATGGTTAATAGGTTTGAAAAGGCAGAATGTCACTATGCAAAGTTAAATTCCAACAGATCAGTAGTAACCTGCATTACAAAAAGGCATTAGAATCATAATGAATCCTAGACCAGGCTAAAAACTCGTAATCCAAAAATGGCCAATACCTTAGCATGAAAGTACCCTTCCATTTATATTCTCCAGTAATGGCATTCCAAAATATATATTGGTACCAAAGAAGAAATATATAGTCATAATTATGAGCAGTAAATAACCTTAATGCTCCATAGAGCTGCACATTATGAAGAATTCCTTCAATTATCTCAAAACTTCTATGATTTAATTTATTGTTGTATTTACTTTTAAAAATGAAAATTTATTTGGCAAACTGATAGCAGAGCTTACACCATCAATTCCCCAAAACTGTACTGTAAAAAATACATCAAATTAAGTGGAGGAAATAAGGGAGAAAAGAATACAAAACTGAAAGTAGATACTCAAGTTTTTCTGAATAATTTGCAGTAAATTTAAATAAGTTTGAGATCTAATCAAGTGCAGCAACACCTACAAAGCCCCATTTCCTGGAGAGGAAGCCACCGATAGATTTGGCATTAAAAGACCTAAGAACTTTACTCTGCTACTAATTTTAAACTATTACACTGATGTGCTCAAGCACTTATTCCTTAATACATATGAGAAATATACATTGGCCATATGATATTTAAAGCAAATATCCCTCTATTAAATGTATAATAATCTACAAGGAATACAATAGTACAAAGAGTTGTTGTTGTTGTTGTTAGCTGCGAAGTCGTGTCCGACCCATCGCGACTCTGTGAAAATGATATTTATCCCATTTCAGAGACAGGAAATGTAAATGCATTTCTGGAAATAGCAGCCAAGAAGCATGTGTATTTATGTTACGTATGAAAACTTGCTGTATTGAGTACAATACTGTGAACAGGGAATGCTGACTCCAGCTCAAAAAGGACTTGCTGACTGAGCTTTCAAATCTCTTGACTGCAGTCACAGTACAATAAATCACATGTAACTGCATTCATAGTACACACTAAGACATTACCTATTGTTTAGCATATGTATAAAGCAAACTTGGGTCTGGGCCATATTATAATTACGACATTATACTGTATAAATTCTCCACATTTTTGCCAAGATATTAAAACAAATCTAGCCTTCTCTATCTTTTTTTTCTAATTTTCAATGTGTATAGCATTTTCCTTTTATACGGAAGGTTTCTCGTTGTTTGACAGAGTTCTTCCCAGATCTAGTCTGCCACCTCATGGACTGAATAAAATATTGGTTGAAAGGTCGTGAATCATTTGCCTTTTAGTTAAAACATCTATAGGAAAGAGCCAAACTGTACCCATTGAGTGATGTTAGAGAGATATTGGAAGGAGGAGAAAATCTAACCTCTTTTATTACATTGTTTTGCTCATATAAATCATCTACACACTACTCTATGAGCCAAAATATGTGAATTGAGAAACATTTAGAGCAAACCCCACTCCTGATGAGCACTAGTGATGTTACTTAGTTTGGGTAATAAAACATCTGCAAGAAAACTCAGATAACAAAGGTCAGAGAACACCAAGGACCCCTCATTTCAACCTTGAGCTGCAAATATTCTCCTTTATCGGCACAAATTTTATACTATGAAAAACTTACCCAGAATATTTTTGAGACAACTATGACCTGGGTGACTGAAAATCTCAGCAGATACTTAGAATCAATCCACTGGTTTTATCAATGAGACTGAAAGATGACATAAAGAGAAATACATTTTTGCTACATTTATGCAGTTAAATATCTGCTGTATCGCCAAGGAGATAGTATGTAAGTAATCTTACTGTAGTATGGCTGTAAGTCCACTCACTGCTAAGTCTATACATTTTGTATACCTTCATTCAGTGGGTTTTTTTGTAAAAAAAAAAAAATGGTGCCGGAACTCACACGTCATACAACCCGCCTTGCCTACCCTACAAGGTTCCATCCAAAAAAGTTTCTGGAATTCCATTCTGGGCGTTTTATGACAAAAAAAGGCCCTGCCTTCATCTGATGATAGGCTCCCAAGATAGAACTGACATTCTGCTGCTGAGATTATCCATTCCATAGTCTCTCTGCTCACAGAATGAGGCAGCAACTCAAAGGTAAGCAGCCTAAGGGATGCAGAAGACTGCCTACATGTCACATCTTTCTATTCCAATATTTGCAACCACCTCTCCCAGTAATTGTGGCCTGACTGTCCCTTATGCCTAGATTAAGCTATAATGATTATATAAAAATCTGTGAGAAAAATCAGAGAAGACAGCATTCTCAAAGGGCATCAACTTTAAAAAAAAAAATCAGTCCCAATAGACTTAAATTTGAGAAGTTGTCATTGAGTATCCCTGAAGCATAAAAATAGAAAATTAGCTGGATGACACAATATTTTCCTACTGTGAAAGAGAAAATGTCCAAGTTTGGGAATCATCTGATAATAGCAGTAATTTCAGCTGAAAATAAATATGGAGAGCATACTAAGCCACATTTTGACTAAGCATGTACCTCAACTGATGTATTGTTGACATTGTTACAATGGCTACTGGATCTACTCAACTTGCTATGCCACAAGCAAACAAATCATATTTGGGGCTAACATTATGCAAACCGATCTAAGACAGCATTCCTACTATAAATGGCCAAAATTTGGAATCAAAGGAGGTTAGAAATAAACTCTCCTGATATGGAATTCCCTGAATCATTAAAAACTCTTTGGCTGAAAGAAGCAATTCTACTCCACGCTTCTTTCTCTTTTGTCTGGAAGGCGTTAATGGTGGATAATATCCATGACATCACAAGAAACAAAAGGCCCTTCTGGCTGCTTTCTATCTCCCAGTTCCTTTGAGGGACATGATAGTTGGACTAAACCTTCCAGGGTGGTTTAAGGAAGTTGCTAGAGATAGCAATAGCTACACAGAAACATCTCTTACCCTTGCTTTTTTTGGGGGGGGGGGTCTTTAGAAGCATGTTAAAGACTAGACTGGGTCTTGCTAACTATCCTGGAAAGAGAAGAAAGTTGTATTGATTATTCTATGTAGCTATTAGCTACAAGCTTTAAGATTCACCACCTGCTTTGCACCATGTAGGAACACAACAGGAACACACCTGTTCATTTTTATTTATTTATTTGTTAAATTTATTTGCTGCCTATCTCGCTGTGGGGCTGCTCTAGGTGGCTTACAATAACAAAAAAGAAGAAAAATGAAAAGGGGCATAAATAGAAGAAAAATAATAAAATAAACAATGGCAAAGGAACATAATGAGAACAAATACATCAACACGATAACCAAAAAGATGGGTGGGTGGAGAGCAGAGAGCAAAGGGAGTGGAAATAGAGTCTGCCATTAATCTAGCCGCTACCTCCAGTGTGCAACTTCCTCATTTGGTTCCCAAGCCAACTGGCACAGCCAAGTCTTCAGGCTGTTGCAGAAGAATAGGAGGGTGGTGGCGGATCCTACCTTAGAGGATAAGTTGTTCTAAAGGGCAGGCACTGCAGCAGAAAAGGCTCTTCTTCTTGATCCCAATTAGTCAGATTTCTTGACCAACAGGATCTCTCACAGTACAAGTAGGCTTGTCCTAGAGGGATGAGGAGGTTCATCAAGTAGCCTGGATTTATGCCATTAAGGGCTTTAAAGCTCATAACCAATATCATAAAGTACATTTGGAAGCAGACCAGTAGCCACTGAAGTTCATGGAGCAGAGGTGTAATATGGGCCATCCTAGGGGGCCAAAGACTCCTCTTGCTGTTGTACTTGCATGAGCTGAAGCTTCCAACTTGACTTCAAGAATATCCCCACATACATTGTAATAGTCTAGGCAAGAGATAAACAGAGCTTGAGTAACTGAGTGCAGGTAGTCATGATCCAGGAAAGGTCACAACTGGTGCACAACTGGAGCTGTGAAAAAGCTCCCCTGGTCATGTCTGCCACCTGCTCTTCGAGAAGAAGACATGAGCCCCGGAGAAAGCCTAGGTTGCATTCTGGATCTGAACAAGGTAGTGAACCTCATCCAGAACTAAGAATGACAAACACTGAGATCCCGAGGCTTTATGCACTCAAAGCCACTCAGTCTTGTCAGGGTTCAGTCTAAATCTCTTGTCCCTCGTCCAGATCCCTACAGCCTCCAGGCATTGCAACAGGGCAGAGGCAGAATCACTTGGGTCACCATGTAGAACTGAGTATCATTAGCAAATATGATTTCTCAACCATGGTGATGGATAATCTCACCCTACAGTGTCATGCAGATGTTAAACAAGGGAGGAGAGAGTATCAAGCCCTGTGAGACACCATGAGTGATTTGGAGCTGGATGTCTCACTCCCTGTCAGCATTGATTAGGACCAAACTTGGAGGAAGGAGCTGAATCAGCATAAAACTGTGCCACCCAGCTACAATTCACACGAACCATCCAAAAGGATACTGTTGAGTCCTCGAATCAATGGCGAAAGAAGAACACACATTCTGATGGTAATAACAGCTTTTATTCTCTTCAGCTCTCTCTGACACAACTCAGAGGCACGCAGGCCTCTCTGCCTCTAAATAGAATCCCCGGGCAAAAAGATAACATGAGATGGCGCGCTTTCGCGTCTCGCACATGCGCGCAGGCTGGCGCCATTCAGTCTAGTCCCAGGCAGCTTGCAACAGCCTGGGACCATTGCAACATCCCGAGCCTGCTTCTGCAGGCTCAGGACACAACACCCCTTCCCCCCGGATGAAACTTAACCAACCTATAGAGATAGGTATACGCGACCTCACAAAAGGACTTATTGTGCAATTCCTTATGGAACCACACAACTGAGGCAGCTACTTAATAGCCACTCTACAACATGGTACTGTGCTATTATTTTGGAATTAAGTGCCCAAGCCTCCCAATTCCAGGTTTTTTTTTTCTAACAGCAGGCACCATTCTTACCTCCCCTGGGTTGACAACAACCTTACAAAGTCTTCCAGGTGTTTGGGAGATCTTCTAGCCCTCTGTGACCTCCTCACATTTTGAGGACACCCTTGACCATCATGTGTGGTTGTTGCAGGGGAACTTCCCCCTCGTTGTTGCCCTGGTGGTTCCCATGACCTAGGTTCTGTTGCCTGGTCTGCTTGCTTGCCCACCGGACTCGACAGACCAGGACTTTGCCCCAAACTGTACCTGGTTGATCTGCCTAAGTGTAGGCTATCGGGACCCTCTGTGTCCCACCCAGTATTTTGTGATTCTATGGTATTCTCCAAGTCCACAATGGACCTATCATGGGAACACATCCCTTCACTCCCAAGCCCAGTATCTGGGTTGTCTGGGGTCTCTGCAGTGCCCCAGTACTCTATTGCCCCCCATTCAGTGCCGGAGGTACCAGAATCAGGATTTGCCTCTCTGACTACCTCCTTGTATACTGACTTCCTTTTGGAAGCAATTGCAGCATTGGGCCAGCTTGTTTGTTTGGATGCCAGTTCTCTTGTGTTAGTTGGGTTGTTTGGATGCTCCTGGTTATTCTCCCTGTTTGAAGTGCTGTCTTGGGGTTGAGAATAGTGAGTATGTCCCCTGGGTCACTCCCTGGCTGGAGTAAGTACTGGTGCCTATATTATTCCTTGTTCCCCTGAATTCCTGTTAGGAGCACTTGCGGAACCTTGGGAGAGGCCTTCTCCCACCTCTCCATTTGCCCCCGATTGCTGCCAGCACCTTTCCTTTTGGACCAGTGACCAGTGACCTTGCATACTACCGCCGGAACCCACAGGTGACCGGGCCCATAGTTCCGGGTCCATACCGGGGCACCCATTTGCAGACACCTTGGTGCCCTTGGTTGGGAAACCCGAGGAACCACCCTGTCCGGATGCAGTCTGTCAAGTTTGGTGATCAGTCTGCGCCCCCAGTGAAGTTCTGCCGGGCTCTTCCCAGTGGAAGTAGAAGGTGTGGTGCGGTAAGCAAGAAGAAAATCTGCCAACCTGTGATGCCAGTCACCGTAAGTCAGTTTCTTGAGAGCATCCTTGGTGATGCGAACCATCCATTCAGCCATACCGTTGGTGGAAGGGCGCCAAAGTCGCATGACGAATCATGTTGGCCTGCAGAAAAGCCTGAAACTCAGAAGAAGTTAATTGAGGACCGTTATCTGAAACCAGAACATCTGGAAGGCCATGTGCAGCAAAAATTCCTCTTAATACTTGAATGATCTTGGCAGCAGTAATGGAGGAGACAGGAACAACCTCAAGCCACTTGGAATGGTTATCAACAAGGACCAAGAAGAATTGCCCCTGAAAGGGCCCAGCATAATCCACATGCACCCTAGACCAAGGTGATTGTGTCTCTTCCCATCTATGCACAGGGGCCTGAGGCATTTCTGGCCGAGAACGCTGGCACAAGTGGCATCCATGCACTTGAGCCTCTATGTCCTTGTCTAACCCTGGCCACCATAAATGGCTGCATGCAAGCGCTTTCATCCTGACAATACCAGGATGACCCTCATGTAGAGAGGCCAAGACCCTAGGTCTCAATGAGGTAGGAATAACCACTCTGCTGCCCCACAACAGGCAACCCTGAAAAGTGGATAACTCATGCTTCTTGAGCCAGAAGCGTTGGAACTTAGTACCTGGACAACTCTCAGGCCAACCTGACAAAACCCATGAAAGCACACAAGCAAGAGATGGGTCTGTGGCTGATTCTGCAGCCATATCCCTGGCATTTAGGGGACACTCAGGCAACGCCTGAATGGAGAGAATATTGATGGCAGGAGCAGAGTCAGCTTCTACCAGCTTCAAAGGTAATCTACTTAGGCCATCAGCGTGGCCCATTTCCTTACCAGGTTTGTGAATCAATGAATAATCATAGGCTGACAAAAAAATAGACCATCTCAACATTCTGGGAGATATAATATGGGGAGTTTGTTTGTTAGTTGTAAACAACCCCAGCAGAGGCTTATGGTCAGTATAGACCGTAAAATGTCTGCCATATAGGAAATCATGGAATTTTTTTAATTCCAGCTATAATGGCCAAGGCTTCTCTGTCTATCTGAGCGTAATTATGCTCAGCAGAGGATAAGGTTCTGGAGTAATAAGCAACAGGAACCTGAGTTCCATCAGCTCTCAAATGGCTGAGTACAGCCCCCACCCCATAAGGGGAAGCATCACAAGCGATGCAGACAGGTAGGTTTTCATTGAAATGTGCAAGCACATCATTTGATGTAAGTAAGGCCTTGACCTCATTGAAACTTTTTTCATGTACTTGGGACCGTTTCCAAACTGCCTGCTTGTCTAAAAGCCTATGAGGTGGCTCTGCTACATCCGCCTTGTTAGGTAGGAATGCGTTGTAGAAATTTAAGAGACCTAGAAATGCTTGTAACTCAGCTTTAGACTTAGTCTAGGAGCCTGCTGTATGGCTTTTAATTTAGAATCAGCAGGGTGAATACCACTGGCATCTATTCTGAATCCCAGAAAATCTGTAGAAGTAACTCCTATCTTGCACTTATTTTTTTTAGGTTTAAGGCCTGTTCTTCTGAAACGAAGCAAAACAGCCCTCAACCTCTCAGCTAAATTCTGAGTGGATTCTCCAGCAATAAGGACATCATCAAAATAGGGGCAAACCCCAGGGGTACCCCTCAGAGTGTTCTCCATAATACTTTGGAATATTCCTGGAGCTACATTTACTCCAAATTGTAGTCTCTTGACTTTGAATGCCCCTCTATGGGTTACAATAGTCTGTGCTTCAGCAGCAGCAGCACCAACAGATAACTGTTAATATACCTGTGCCAGATCTAACTTAGTAAAAACACACACCCCTTTGAGGGAAGCCAAAATATGGCTAACTACAGGTACAGGATACGCATGCTGTTGCAATGCCTTGTTTAATGTGCATTTGTAGTCTGCACAGATACGAATGTCCCCTTTAGCCTTGAGAGGCGTGACTATGGGTGTTTCCCATGGACTTGAATCAACAGGTTCTAAAATACCTTGCTGGATCAACTTATCCAGTTCAGCATCTATTTTCCCTTTAAGAGCAAGTGGGACTCTTCTTACTTTAACCCTAATGGGTGTGACAGCAGGGTCAAGTTTCAAAGAAACTGGAAGTCCTTTGTAAGATCCAAGCTCTGGACTAAATACATCTGCAAACTCCTTGCAGACCTCTGCTAGGCCTAACTTTGCAAATTGTGTAGTCCTATAACTTGGATTCCCAAGGCCTCAAACCAATCGAGTCCACTAAGACTCATTCGTTCACCCCCAACAACCAATACATCCAATGGACCTTTAAAATCCTTGTGCTGTACTGTAAGGGTGGTCTCCCCCTTTACACACACCTTGGAATTTTGAAAATCTGTTAAGATTATATTGGATGGCCTAAGTCTGGCCTGGAATCCACTGCTATTACAAATCTTCCTAAAAGTGTGAATAGAAATGATTGAAAGAGCAGACCCAGTGTCCAGTTCCATAACCAATGGAACTCCTTGCAACCTCACCTTAAGTGACAGTTTCTACGTGGTTTGTGTGTGCCTGTTCTACAAATACTTCTGTGTGATGCGCAGAAACCCATCCTGTTTTGGCTGGGGACCCTGGTACCTTTCAGACGCAATTCTTCTCGAGGTTATGCCTTCTGGCGGCCCAGACAAACAGATGCTATGTGGCTTTGCCTGCCACACGCTCTACAGATTGCAGAATGGAACCTGCAGTCGGCCCTCTTGTGGTGACCTCTGCACCCGAAGCATTTGGACACAGCTGGAGCCCTTTCTTTGCCTTCCCTCTGCTTCCTTTCCTTGGATGGGTAGAGATGATCCACCTCATCTTCAGGATCTTTTTCCGAGCTCTCTTGGACTCCCTCATGGTGCACGGAAACTGCTTCAGGTTTGTTCCTGATGGGCCTCATGTTCTTGACCGCCCCACCTGCTGCCTCCTCTGCAGTGACCTCTCCCAAGGCATCTTGGAAAGAAATATCTTCTTTTGCAAAAAGTCTCTGTTGCAAGTCTCTGTTCCTTAATCCGCATACAAAACGGTCTCTCAGCCTTTCTTCTAAATCTTTAAAGTCATAGGGCTTAGCTGCTCTTCTCAAGGCTGCAATGTATTCTTTGGCTGATTCACCTGCTCTTTGATCCCTCTGTTCAAACGTGTGCCTCCACACAGTGACAGACAACTTAGGCTGAAAATGTTCCTTCAATAATTTCTTTAAGTCTGTATAACTGACAGACTCTAGAGGAGCAGGGGCTACCAAATTTTCTGCAATTTCAAACGCATCTTGACCACAGACACACAGCAAAGCGGCGGCCTTCAAGCCATCTTCTCTAACTTGATTCACTCTAATTTTCTACTCTAGCGACATAAGACTCCCATCTTTCTGGGTGAGTAATGTCGAATTCAGATAATCGCCCTATCTTCGCCATCCTTGCTTCTAATTCTAGGAAGGGGTCTATCAGCCACCTTACTTCCAGCGACACTGTACTGGCAGGCCAGATGCTGAATTTAACGCCGTCTTCCTTTTCTCCAGGACTCCTTGGGTAAGCCTTACAAGTCTTCTTTCTTTATCTTGTAAGCCATCCCATCCTCATCGCCAGTGTTGAGTCCTCAAGTCAATGGTGAAAGAAGAACACACATTCTGATGGTAATAACAGCTTTTATTCTCTTCAGCTCTCTCCGACACAACTCAGAGACTTGCAGGCCTCTCTGCCTCTAAATAGAATCCCCGGGCAAAAAGGTAACATGAGATGGCGCACTTTCGTGCCTCGCGCATGCACGCAGGCTGGCGCCACTCAGTCTGGTCCCGGGCAGCTTGCAACAGCCCGGGACCATTGCAACGTCCCAAGCCTGCTTCTGCAGGCTCAGGACACAACAGATACCATGGTTGATGGTATAGAACAGACATGTCAAACACAAGGCCCAAGGACCGGGTCCGGCCCAATATGTGGTTCCGTCCAGCTCGGGGACCTGCTCTGGAAACAGGGAAGGACCGGCTCACCACACCTTGGCCCAGCCCAGGCCGACTGGGCACTGATTACAACCTGGTTGCGTCCATCAAAGCCAGAATGGCTCAGCCTTAGAGAGGGGAGTTGGGGGGGATTGGCGCTGGCTGGGAGGCTTTGCTGGAACTCTGCAGATTCAGTGGAGAGGTCGGGAGCTCTGGTGGCCTGCGTGGTGGCTGGTTGCAGGGCGGGGCTCTTGGGAAGGGATTTTTAAAGGGAAAAAGGAGATTGACTGGGGAAAGAAGATTTTATTTTCTCTTTTCTGGAGAGGCAAGCCAGAAGGAGGGAGAGCAAAGTAGAAGTTGGCAAAAAGTCTGGCGGCACTGATCTACATACAACCTGGTTGTGTCCATCAAAGCCAGAATGCGCTCCATGGAGCAGCCCTGCTCCTCCCCCTGGGGGCACGTGAAATGGAGTCTGGTGTCCCTGCTGGCTGTCTTTCCCCTCAGGCTGACTTCAACCAGGATGCTGGTGCTGGTTGTCTCCTGTGTGCACACCCAGGGGACGGGACAGAGGTGGCAGGGCACCTCCTTCCTGGTTTCTGGGCTCCCCCATGGATCTAAGCCTGAGCAAATTCTGGCTTTGATGGACGCAACCAGGTTGTAGATCAGCACTCCCCCCCCTCCCACCAGCACCTCCAGCTTCATAGTCACGAGGCTTTCCTTTTACCGGGACAGCCCCCCGCCCATGCAGGATAGCAAGACAGGTGGCAACATGGTAGCGCTGGCAATCTCTCCCCCTCCCATCACCTCTTCCTGAGTGCGGAGGAAGGAAAGAGATGAGAAGGAGAGAAGGAACAAACGGAGGAAAGAAGGGAAGAAGGGAGGGAGGGAGGAACAAAGGGAGGGAGGGTGAGAAAAAGGGGAAAAAGGCAGGGAAGAAGGAGCAGAGGGAGGAAGGAACAAAGGGTGGGAGAGAGGGAAAAAAGGGAGGGAGGGAGAGGCAACTTGGTTGGAGATGTCCCAGTTCACCCAGTTCTGCTTCAATCCTGGATCCATTGAGACTTGGGCTCAAAGGAGAAAGCAATTGGCAATCCAAGTTAACACTGGTATTCTTGAATTGTGAACTCTTAGGGAAGTATCCCTTCCTTTTGTGTTGCAAACAGCCATTTCCAGTGGAGAAAACAGGACAAAGCAGAGTAGGGGAAAATATTTTCCTTTGCTATATTTTCAGTCTAAATTATACCATGGCAGGGTTCCTGCAGGAGAGCTCTTTTAAGGATTATGTATTAACAGAAAAGCAACTAACTTACCTCTGTTCCTAAATGCTAAAGCTGTTGCACATAAAAAACAGAGAAGCTCTGATCAACTATCACAGCCACCATTTTGACAATTCTACTGTACTGTTGTCTGTGGACGCCCCCACTAAATGCAAGCATGGAATAAACTGAGCCTGGTTTGTTCTTGGTCTTTTAAGTGGCCACAGGCTACTAGCAAAAGTGCCATTTGATCACAAGGCAAGGAGGCATCGAGAAATGTTTCCCCTTTTGCATTTGAGCATTCAAGAAGGGATAGGAAAGGAGAAAGGGAAAGAGGAAAGACAAACAAAAAGAAGGAAAGAGGGGAAGGAAGAAGAAGAATGAATAGGGAAGGAAAAATAAGAAAGGGGGGAAAGGAAGGAGGGAGAGAGGGAGGGAGGGAGGGAGGGAGGGAAGGAAGGAAGGAAGGAAGGAAGGAGGGAGGGAAGGAAAGGAAAGGAAGGAAGGTAGATTATAATCAGAGGGAGGAAGGGACTGAGGGAAGTCCTGCCTTAGCATTTGGTCCCAAGCAGCCCTGCTGCCCTTTTGCCATTCCCTTATCCCCTTCTATTGACCTCTCCTGGTGGTCTCCCATCTTATCACTGAGGATGCTTTGATTACAAAGCTGGGTCTCCTCACCTGGAGAAGGAGTGGGATTTCCTCTGACCCACACATTTTGCCCTCCCGCAACACCATGAGCAACATGGCTAAGGAGAGTGAGCATAGCAGCAGCAGCCTTAAAGAGGAGGTAAGTGCAGCTGGGCGCCCCCTTGGGGAAGTGGGGCTAGGCTAGGCTGGGCTGCAGGGTCCCTGAACTGGACGATTGGGCGCTTGACCTCTGCTTCCCAGGGCTCTGGGCAGCCTGTGCCACCATCTATAGCCTCCCCGCATGGCCTGACAGTGAGGCTCCTCCAGTGGACCATGCCCCAGCGCTCGCCCTGGTCCCACCCTCCCGTGCCAGAGATCCTCGGATGCATCCCAGGCTTGCACAGGTGCCCCTGACATGAGTGATGCCACGCCCATCCCAGCCATACCCACCCAGCCCCTCCCCTGAAGGCAACTACAATGCTGGTGCAGCCCTCAATTAAATTGAGTTTGATACCCCTGGTATAGAAGGTCGCTGAGAGGTCAAGGAGGATGAGAATAGTTGTATTACCCTCATCCTGCTCGTGCCACAGATCATCCATGAGCTTAACCAAAGCTATCTCTGCCCCATAGCCAGGCCTGGATCCTAACTGAAATCAGAATCCCCTGGAACTGTTGAGCAACCACCTTTTCTATCACCTTCTCCAAAATGGGAAGATAAAAAATTGGACGAAAGTGGACTAGGCCCGTAGGGTCAAATGATGGTTTTGTTAAGGAGAGGATAAACCAGGATCTCATTAAGTGAGGAGTTTATCATTCCATGAATCCACCTGGTGGTCACCATCTTGGAGGCTTTCACCAGTCAGGAGGCACAAAGGTCTAATTGATAAGTGATTGTGTTGACAATGCAGAAGATGCTATCCACTTCCTTAGGTCCAACAGGGTCAAATTGCTCCCAAACTGTTGGGTAAGACATCTCCCTGGGCATTTCATAAAGACTAGCAGCACACAACTGGGAATGAATCCGAGTGACAGACATTGGACAAATTCTTCTGTGTAGCCCTGAAGATGATTGTCCAAACTTCCCCAGGGTCAATGTGCAACACTGAGGATGCAAAAAGAGTGGAGAAATATTTTATTTTGCCACTCCTATCACAAGAACCACCTTAACAGTGGCTCTAAGTCATGTCTAGTCAGTCATCCATTTGGATCCCCAGTCTCTGAGGGTGGACCATTATAATGGGGCCAGTCTCCCTGTAGAAGGAGGTGATGTAAGAGAATCTCAGGGATATTAAGCTGTGATCTGACCATGAGAGGGGGGCAAATTCCCTGTCTAGATTCCCCACTAGATCACGTTGACATTGCTCTGATATGAATATTAGATTTGGTATGTGACCACTGTTCTGAGTTGAACCTGTGACAATCTGGGATAGGCCCACAGCCATCATAGAGGAAATGAACTCCCAGCTGCTTCTGTAGCTGAACCCAGGGAAGGCAGATTGAGGTCACTCAGAACCATAAGCTTGGGGAACTCCACTGACAGTCCTAAGACAGCTTCTAGCAATTAAGGCAGAAAGTCTGTATAGTAGCAACAATGAGGATCAAGGTTTTTCTCTGAGCTTGCGGGTTGGTTTTCGAATGTTTCATTACCAGGCTAGGTAGCATCTTCAGGGGAGTTTAGGGGATGTCATTGTCAGTGTTCCTCTGTTTATAAGGGCTTCATGTAATCAGTAGATCTTGTGATGGAAAGGTCACATCAGATGAAGGTCTTGTGACGGATCAAGTGTGGGTCATGTCAGATGAGGATCTTGTGATGGGACTTGTGACAGGGAGGTCACATCAGGTGAGGGTTATTGGGAGGTGAAGTGCTGGTTGGGATGGGGCAGTGAGGTTGTGTGGGTTGATTGAGGGTTGGTACCATAGCTGGTTGGCTGACCAGTTAATTTGTGGTCCCCATCACAACACCCTCACCTGATGTGACCCACACCTGACCCATTACAAGACCTTTACTTGATGCAACCCACACCTGACCCATCACAAGACCCTCATCTGATGTGACCCCCCCATCACAAAACCTACGGATCGCACAAAGCCATCATAAACAGAGAAACACTGATATTGCCTAAACTCTGCTGAAGATTACCACTAGTCTGGTAATGAAACATTCAGAAACCAACTCACAAGCTCGGAGAATGAACTCCCACCCTCATTGTACCCAAGCTACAAGATATTTGCCACCAGTAGCAACAATTCCAGATGATTCCATGAGCCCATCTCAGGGTCTCATAGCCAGAGACTTGGGGAGCAAGGCCCTTGAAGGCTGAGACTCTCTGATAACCATAGCCACCCCATTTACCTTGGTCCTGGGGTCTCAGCTGGTGCCAAACCCCAAACTACTGACTGCCAAGTTTCGTGATGCATGTCATGTTAATCATACATCTCCTCAATATGGTTTTGAATGAGAGGAGCCTTGTTGACTGACCTGGCATTCAACAACAGCAGTTGAAGCTCTGAGCCTCTGAGGAAATGCTGTCCAGGGACTGAGCATGAATTCAACAGGCTGAAATATGCCACCTATATTAACATTCGGGCATCTTCCCCTGTAACAGCCCGCTCCCTGGTTTCTGTAGCATCCCATGTCCATCACTATACTGATGTGATGTCCTGCCCTATGATCCCCAGGGCAGTCTATACCCCCTCTCTTGGCCCACCTCCCTTTAGAGCCACCCTACCCCAGTCATTCACATGCCTCCAATCACTCAGTCATTCTAGAGAGGTTAGGATAGGTAGGATAAGATAGCTCAAACTCTCTGCACCAAGGGCTTCCCCCACACTTTTCTCCAGCCTAGACTGGTCTCTCTTACCAACCAGTGAGGAGACTTGCTCATGCAGCGTCCACTACCTGACTCTCACTCTGGGTGGTGGGTCACTAATATTCACTCAAACATACTTGCTGCTCCTAGGCTCTCACCCTAGGACCAAGCTCACAGACACTTTGGCTCCCCAAATCTTCCCCCAGAGTCCTTAAAACCCCTCAACTCTTATTGTGATGGCTCAGATATGATCAGACATTGTCAAAGATATTATTGACTGAGCAATAAGCATGGCTCAGTTACGACTTTTGAGTGTGGCTAGGGCCGTTTCCTTGGATTGGCTGCAGGGTTTGTGGCTGACAAACAGCTCGCCACTGCTCTTTGACTGCCTGTTGCCACCACATAGCTTACAGTGCTCAGCCTGCTGTCACCACTGCCCAGCATTTTCCTGTATGCTACAAAATATCTTTGAAGATGAAAGTGCTGCATAGCTCATTCCAGACACTCAGTGAACCAATTGCAGCTTGTTCTGGTTGGATCTAGTCAGTTCCATGTTAACTATTTTGGGGGATATAGTTCTTCCATTATATCAAAAGCCAATTTTCCATTGACCAGGGAGGCAAAGTTTGGTACTGCAGGCAATCAACGTTTGGGAGATTTGTTTTGCGACTATTGGATTTTTGCAGTGAATTTCATAGTGCAGCTTCTTGCATTTTCATTCTACTCACCCCCATTGGAGGAATGAAAGTAAAAAACTATGAGTTCCAAAACAGGGTTTCTGGGTTTGCATAATACAGTTGATCAATTGCTTTGACTAAATCTGCCAGATTCATAGTTTCCCACAGCATACTGAAACTAAAAGGGCTTAGTTACTCATATGAACTTCTGCTGTCAACTCTGCCTATAGCACAGGAGAGGGAGACTATTATACCATGTCCTTTTTCTTTAAATCCTCCCAGCCATGGGCTTCTGGAAGAAAAAATCATGGATTGAAGATAGCTCTGTGAAAAATGGAGCTGCAACCATGCAAAGAATGAAAACTTGGCAAATAAATTGCTCTCCAGATAAAGAAGATCAGAGATCACCCACAAGTGCTCCATATAGTTGTTCTTCATAAGAAGATTGCAAGATAGTGGTTTTTGAACACTGAGGCAAGAGAATAGCCATCTTGTTCAAACTGTGTTTGCTACCTTTAAAAGGGCACTAAATTCATGTACTTCTTTTTATAATCGCACTTGGCAATTGTTTTTGAGCTTATCTTCAGCTATTGGAAACTTTTGAAGTGACAAATCCAAAAACATCTGGAGAACCTGTCTTCAATTAATAAAAGACAAATTTAGCTACAAGATTAAAAATAAACATTTTTCTTTAATCAGTAAAGGGTTGATTAAAAGTTTGGTTTTAAAAAGCTACAAATGGACTAAGTGCTCTTATATATTTGAAATGGTATTAGAATCCTTCCCATGGGAAAATATTTTCATTTTGAATTAAAAAAATAAAATTTTAAAAAATTGGGACACAAGAAGGAACTAAAGATTTCTGTTAAAGGAGAATAACATATATACTCAAATAAAAGTTACAGAATAGAAGAAATATTGGAAATATTTTCAAAAAATGGAGTCAGAAATTAATATTAATGTTAACAGTGATAGACTATGTTAGAATGCGTCCTTATGAAAGGAACAAGTTTTACTTGACAAGACAGATTGAACTGAATGTGGATTTACAAATGATAGGCTGCAAGAATGACAGGAAAAAGGCATTACACAGGACAAACAAAAACTAGCTGTTTTAATAATTAAAAGGGACATACAAACTATAAGTTATCTGAATTATTTTCTAAATTGAATTTATTAGTCTTGTCAAAGTTTTGAAGAATCTCAAAGAATAAATGAAATCAAGTTCTAGAATTCCTTTAGAAGTAAAAGGAAGGAATATAAAGTTGGTTTATTTGATCAAGGTTAAAAGTTATTTCTGGTAACCCTTAATGGACTTCTGCTGACACCAAGAGTGAAATAAAGAGGCTTTATGGATTTGTTTATAAATAATAAATGGGATGCAGGAAGAGATCATTTGTTATAACTTAAAGAGATGAAAAGTTACTAAAATTGTTATAGTTGCGACTGAAGTCGGGAGTCATTTGTTTATATACAGATGTTTTGTTTGTAACCATTCGTTTAGTAAATTTCAAACAGCTCTGAAAAAAATGACAGTACCATTTTTCACACTTATGACTTCATAGCATCCTCATGGCAATGTGATCAAAATGCAGGTACTTACCAACTGGCATGTATTTATGACAATTGTACTGTCCCAGGGTCATGTGATCACTATCTGTAACTTTCCCAAGCAGCTTAGTCAGTGGAAGAAGCTGGATTCATTTAACTGTGGAGGAATTTGCACATGCAGCAAACTGCCATGCATTGCCCCCCACAAACCTCATAACCTTTTGATACCCCTTGTCCCAAGGAAGCAGCCAAAAGAACACCCCCTTTTGACTTAATATCTTACCCCCCTAAATAAATAATATGCTTTAAGTTCCCCCTTATCTCTTCCTGTCTTTATCTCCTTGTCTTTATCAGTTCTTTCTCCTTTTCTAATTTACCTGTATTTGTTTTTACCTGCTCTCAACAGCTAATGTGTTACTAGAAAATAATTGCTTATATGAAGGAATTTTTCGATTACTTTATGTCAACAATTAAAGGTTAAACTTCTAAATGTAAAATGTCAGCAGTTAATGGTAAAGCCTATGTATGTAAAAAGTATATAAGAAACAATAAACTCAAGAGTTAAAGAAGCTGTGTGAAGATGTGTCATGCAGCTTCAAACCTCTGCCCAAGACAAGCCTGAGTCTTTTTCTTAGCATCGTTACACTTAACTGCAATGATTCATTTAACCGTGGCAAAAAAGGTCATAAAATGGGGCAAAACTCACTTAGTGACTACCTTAACAGAAATTTGGGGCTCAATTATGGCCATAAGTCAAGGACTATCTGTATTTCTTTTCCTTCACTATATTCATATTTTTCTTTTTTCTTCTTCTATTCTTTATGTCTCACTTTATTTCCCTTTGCACTTTTACTCCTATTTTTCTATTAGTTTGTAGTAATTTTCACTAATATAATTATAATTTTTAATAAAAATTATATTTTTAATAAAAATCCTAATCAGCACAAACCTGTCATTTCCCTTTATTTCCCCTCAAAAAATAAAGGGGGGGGGGGAAAGAGAGAGTCAGAGAGACACCCTCTCCCCAGCTAGAGCGCGTTCGACACCCCCACCACCACTACAACTGAAGGGCGACAAAATGGATGAATCTTCCAAGAGAGGAGACGAGCTCTGGGTCAGGCTCCTTTTACGCAATTTCCCACTGAGAATAGGTCTAATCAGCAACGCTTCTTGATTACTCCCTTTTGCACGCTTTCGCTGAACTCGCTCAGTGCTCCTTCGGCTGAGCCGCGGGCGTCAAACGCTATACCTCCATTTTTGGGAGAAAATGGAGATCCAACCCTCTACTCGCCCACACCCATCCCGGCCCCGCCCCTAAGATCTTCACGCACACCCATTAAAAGCCTCGGAGCAATTTAACCCTCCTCCTTCTCGTCCCCCTTCTTTAAACAAGTCAACAGCGGAGGCGTCTACGTCACACACACTGCCCGGAACTCAGCTGGCTTTCCAGCAAAGCGGCGGGAGGGGGAAGTAGAACCCGGAACAGCCCGATGAATAATAAAAGTAGCGGCGCATGCTGATTGGCTGCCTGGTGCGCCTCCGGCGAAAGATCCTCTGGAACTGCAAGGGATTGGTCGCTAACTAAGGGTAGTATTGATGCTGCGGGTGAGGGGGGCAGGACCAAGCTCAGGACGGGAAGCTGTAGGAACAAGACGTCGAGACGCGGACGACCCCAGTAGTGGCTAAGTTATATTGGGCAGGTCGAAGGTAGGCTAAAGATGAGATGATACTGGAAGGAATAGGGGCGAGGTAGCACGGGACGGGGCCACTGAGAATAGAACTGAACTTTGAGATTGCCAAATCTCAACTGCTAAAAGAGATCTGGCCTCTAAACATGTGCAGAGTGCTCCCCTCCCCCATTAGAGCATATCTCTGATGCATGAAAAGGATGCTTTTATCCCAAACTATTACTTTCGAAGCGACGATTTCCGTTGTATAAATTAGAGATAGCGTTAATTGGAAGTGCCTTTCAACTCACTTCTGGAGCTTAAACAGGAAGAAAAGATTTGGGAAAGAGCAGTGCAAGATGGGAATTAAAAGGAAAAGAAATTAACAAGAGTCCTCATTTACTCTGTCATCGATGCCTGGTTTTGTAGGAAAGCTGGGGGTATCTGGTGACTTCTTAACTGATTTGGTTCTGCCAAGCAGGAATAACTGGTATTTGGTGAAGCAATTTAGAGAACCCTGGCAGCCATTACCTTCTTAGGGAGCCAGTGAATATGTATGGTGTGCAAGGATGAATAGGTTTTGTATTGTTTGCTGTTTTGGCCTACAATTCCCATAGTTCCTGGGGAATAGTTATACTGCATAGGAATGATGGGAGTTGTGCTCCAAAAATCTGGCTAAATAGGAATTGAGTGTTTTTAGTCTAAAAAACTGTATGTACCAGTATATAAAAATTCCATATCCTATAGAGTTAATGAGGAAACAGGAAAATAAGAAATAATATACGGTTTTGCAAACTGCCAATATAGAGAAGTTGAAGTCTGTTCTTCCCCAACAATGGGTAGAAATTGACTAGAAGACTAGGATAACACAGGTCTAGAGTATGGAACGGATGTTGTTTTTATTTTTTTCTGACACAGCTGATTTAGCTAATTATTCAAACAATGTCAGTATAATGCCTAAGCAGAAATTAGATTTTTCACTAATTGTGGCTTACCTATTCATGAGTTTTGAAGATTTCACCCTTATCTCATATTACAGTAACCTCACAAAAAAGACTGGCCATTCATTGTGGCTTGTGACCTGCCTAAATTGAGTTTTGGTATACAGCTTTTCACAAGTCCTTCAATAGGTTAAGTCTGGGAAGAAGGCTACTTTATTACAAAAAAATCCAATGCAACACTGGGTAATCTAGTGAGATTTACACATTTCAAGAAATGTTTACTTTCTGTTTCCAAAATAGGTCTTTGTTTGCTGGTATAATTCTTAGTATTCCAGTGATATTCACAGCCTTCACTGGATTAGTATACCTGGGTTTTCTTATGCTTTAGCATAACTCCAGGTATATTAAAACTGCAACTCCCTGAATTCCTGGCTGAAAGCAATGCTGCTAAAGCACTTGAATTTGAATTTCAGAAGAAGTCCAGGTTCATTTCTTTACATTGATTATTTCAATTTCTTTGCTGCTCAGTTATAAAGTTTAGGGAGAGAGCCTTCCTTGGGGAAGGCTGTTCTAAAGTCTGCAGGTATTGATGAGCTGAGTTCTGTGCAGGGTAGATCTGATAACGATTATATTCCACCACCATTTTATATTATTACCATTCCTTACCCCAGCTGCACGCATTGGAGTATTTAGGCTTCCATACTCTTGGCTTTCCCAGCGTAGAGGACAGGAAGACCTGGAGGAACGTTGTCCATGGGGTCGCGATGGATCGGATACGACTTCGCAATTAACAACAACAATTGGCTAGTTTCAGGGGAAAAAAAACTGAGGACAAGAAAGATGGGGAGAAAGCTTTCAAAAAAATAGAAATGCTTGTTTGTTAATTTGATACTTCTAAGGGGAAGTAATATTGTTCCTCCATTACCATAACTTCTATAATAAGTATTGCTTAGCCTGAACTGCTCAGCAGTATAGACTTCCTAGGCTGCTTATTGACAATAAAGGCCCTGTTCCACTGTGTACAGTATACAAGTAACTCAGTTTTATTGTATTTGTTTGGCTATTCTATCACATTACATCTACACTTTTAAATATGTGAACATTGTCTTAGGACAAAATTTAAAGCCAAGATAAGACAACAATATATTTGTTTATAAAGAATAGTAATATATTTTCTAGGCATAATCCATCATAATTTGACACGAAAGCCTGACTAACTTAAGCTTGTTAAAGGTCATGAATGCAGAACAAATTTGTTTCCATTGTTTACCCAGAATAAAGAGGTAGCAGATCATTTGGCTGAGATAAAGAATATTAGATATATTATATTTGGCTCTGCTATGAATAGATTTTGAAATTTCAGAAGGCCTACCAACTGTTAAAATCTGAAGCCATCTTCAACTCATGTCTTCGGACAAGAAACTCATTATCAAAATGACATTTTTAATACAAGGGTGGAGAGATGAAGGTCTACCAATGGTTACTAGACTGTAGTTTCCATGTGCTTTCAAATGTGCCCTTTGGTTCCTGAGGATTATATTTCAGCAATATGGGATATGGGACACAAAAATATCTCTAGTGCAATACCGATTGGCTAAATGATATGAAATCACTGAATTCAATTAAAACATAATCTGGCTGCCTATCTAATCTAGTTCTGCTGAACAATGAAATAATAGTTTCTGTACTCATAAGTTTGAAAAGCATCAGATATAAAAGCTTCGTTTGAAAATAATTTCTATATGACGTCAAGTTACTTGGAAGGACAGTTGCTTGTAAAACATGCACTTGCTTTGAATGTCCCATCAGTTTCTAATGAATTTTTGGTTGGGACTTGACAGAGGATCATTTTGATTGCTGTGCCTATGGTTTAGAGCTTCCCAGGGACACATTGTGCTGATTCTTAGCTGGGTTTGTCCCACTTTTCTCTTTTTAAGAGACATCTGCATGATAGCATGATTTTTCCTTTGTGGAATTTAAGTCTCTATGGCTATGATCCTACTTTCCAAGAGACTGTCCCTAGAGTACAGGTAGTCCTCAATTTAAGACCACTGTTAGGACTAGAATTTCTGATTCACAATATTGATATGCCTTCTGACGCACTTAAGCTGTACCTCAGAGGTGCTCAATTGTAGGAATCTAGTCAAAACATTTCCAAACTACCTTGCTTATATCTGCTGACTGGACTGCTCAGAGACTGCTTGTATATCGACATTTTTCCATTTCATATCTAAAAGTGTGGTGAGATCTCGTGCTTACAGGTCCTAATATCACATACACAGCAACAACAAGAAAGCCCCATTGGTCTTATCTTTTACTTATGTACAGTACATGTAATTGGCTAAAGGTGGATGAGACTCTTGTGTGACTACTGGTTTGGTTGCTAGTATTTCCACAAACTTCCCATGGCATTTGCAAAACACAAATATTTCATTTTTACATGCCAGATTCTACTCTTGTGCCCCCTTTATCTTACTATTTTCTCTTGACAGATCCAGTATATCTTTCCTAACATAATTTCTATCTATTGGATCATTCTGTAGAAATACTTGATGACATATACAACAGCTGACTTAAAATTATATTTTGATGTCTCCAGTGATGCACTGCTTTCTGTGGGTTTATGTGTGGGTTTAAAACAAAAAAAACCCCTATACTATATATACAATTGTTTAATACTGAGAAGGAAGATGTATTTTTTCTATAGGAAATGACAGAATAGTGAATGATATGGGGATAAATGTATAGAAACAAAACCGAAATGATAGAAGAAGTTCAGAAAGTGCTGATTGTGTCAAATTTTGATTGTTATCCAAATAAAGTAATAATAACTTACATTGTATATTTAATTAGAATAATTCCCACTGAATTAGGATAATTCCCATGAGGCCTCATCAGGATGCTTGTCTATTTAATGTTCCTATTTTTGCATATAAGTGAAGCAGTAACATTGAAGGAAGAAAACATATGAAGATAAGCATCATCCTGAAAATAGTATTTCATCCTGTCAAAAATGTCATATCATTATTCTCTGATTGAGCTAATCGCCTCCATTATTGGGAACCAAATATTAATAATAATTAAAATTTAATTGGGAGAGAAAAGAAATATAGCAGTCTGAATTCTATAATGTAATGTAAACTTTTATAATTGGAACTATTTTTCTTGTTAATTTGATCTGAAGAAAAAAATAATGAATTTTTAGAATTAGTTTTGTTTTTTAAAAATGTTACTATGTATATGAAAATAAGAGAATTGCAGATGTCACATAAAATTTTTATCTTAAAGAAAAACTGCATCTCTAGAGTAAATTAATTTCTCATTGTCAGAAAGTTCCTCAGACTCTTGCCTTACATAAATTGTAAGACTAAATGTGAAGTTGACATTGGTGAGGAATGCCTTTTGAAAACTGGGTGTCTCATAAAGCTGTGAAATAGTTTTTCAAATGCTTATATAATTATATTTCATACCCCTTGCATCTTTCATTATTTTAAATTACAGAGCATCTTTTTTTGTGGCTAAGGCAGATTTATGGTCTCCCAGTTTCTAGCTGATGTCTTAACCATTAGATCAGGGATAGGCAACCATGGCTCTTTTATGACTCATGGACTTGAACTCCCAGAATTCCTGAGCCAGCCATGCTGGCTCAGGAATTCTGGGACTTGAAGTCCACAAAAGAGCCAAGGTTGCCTACCTCTG